ATTATAAATTATTTAAATAAATTGAACTTCAGTTGAATCTTCTCACTCTTGAGATAGCTGCATTATACCTTTCCACGTGATTTGCCAAACTGAAGTTTAATTTAAATAATTATTTCATGATTGTATTTTATGTTATCTAAACTACAGTTTCCTAAACTCAGTAGGTTTATTTCATTAGGCTGAAATAATAAATGTTTGAAAAATAACTATTAATTAGGGTTAGTTTGAAATTCATTTTCAAAAATGTGAAATCAAATTTCGTTAGTGAGAAATTAGTTTTCGTTACTTTGAAATCAATTTTCATTTGAGCGAAATTAGATTTCACTGATGTGAATTTAATTTTCATTAATTTGAAATCAAATTTCACTAGTGTGAAATAATGCTGGAAATGGTATAGTGGTGTTATGGACTAGGTTATGAATCTATAACACAACTATTTTTGGTGATTTGACAAATGTCAAAGGTAAACCTGTAAAGATAAAATGAAGGTAGACAACTACTAATAAACGGAAATAATGGAAAAAACATTCTTATTTTTCGCTTTGCAGATAAAACGTTGTACATCACATGTGCGTTTAAACATGACTACAAAACTCGTGTGATTAGGACGACTCGGTCTACGACCTCGTCGTTCTAATCTTTCACACTCGCTATTGTAATCATGTTCATAAACGCACTTGTAATGTAAATAACTATAAACTAATTAAGGTATTTTTTGTAAATATATAAACCGAGGTATAAACAGAAATACTTAATAAAATTAGTTTTTTTTTTTTTTTGGGAAAGAGCCTCTAAATTTTCTATCATTTTTGTGGGAAATTAGTCGTTTTAATGTTTAAAAGTACCTTAAAGTGAACATTTAGCTTCAAATTGTGATATTAGTGGACTGATAGGTACATACTGAAAGTACCGGAGAAATCTGTAAAATAATGGCACCTCCATCATCAGGTAACTCAGATGGTGAAGAAGGGTAGTGTGATTATAAAGTTATGAGTAATTTACAGAAATTAACAAATCATGCACAAGATAAACTAATAAATCACTACCATATTGAAGTTAAAGGTCAACATAATCCTAGACTAAGCATAAGTAGATTGTCGAAAGGATATAAAGATGGTGATTTAAAAATGCCTAATTCTAACTTAATTATTGATGAAGACAAGATAACAATCATGCACACTAGGCAATCGAGAAAAACAAGCAGATGGACAATTTACATTGAAAGATCAAGGATAAGTTGGTGGACCTACGACTGGATATGGGATGGAATTATTCCAATGTCTATGAAGACCTGTATATTATTAAATGCTACAACTGTGGAGCTTTCAGCCACAAATCAGCTGATTGCAACAAAAATAAATGTTGCACCTAAACACAGCATCAAATTGCATATACATTTCATAATCATCATATCTTTGAGGTATTTTGGTCAATCTTTTTTTTTTCTTACTTAAATTTGATGAATCAGTATTTCCTCTATTTCTCTTATACTTATAATTTATTTCATCTTCTTCCTGTATATTTGTTTGTTCATAAGTTTCTTTTTTATTTTCAACATATTCATCCATTTCTTCAAACTCTAGCTCTGTTGTGGGTAATTTAAAATGACACTAATTTTTATTAAGAATTACAACAACAGCTACACACAATTACCTTGATACAATTTATTTTTTGTTCTTCAAGGAGGAACGACCAATCTATGTACAGGGTGCTTTTTATATACTGACATTCCACCTACAGCCTTTACTTTACCTTCATAGGTAGAAGACAGGTTTAAATACAAAATGTGTAGAATTTTGGTTAAATTTTTAGAATCCATGGTCAGAAACAAAAACTGAATGTCAGAATTGTGAAATGTTGCATGCTTCCAGCTTTTTTCAAATGCGATGCCCTATATTTGGTTCTATATTCTTGAAGAGCACAATTTCCCGATTCCAAAAATATATAGTTTGTCTATATTTGGTTGAGCCGTCTCCAATATATTTGGTTCTAAATTTTTTTAAAATATCGGGTCTTCAAAAAAAAAAACAAAGATTGCTATGGTTTTTTAAATGTATGTCTTAGCAATATTTTTCTTTAATTTTGTCAATGAACTTTATTGTCAAAATGTCATGTTGAAAATCCGAACCAATAAAGAAACAACAATGCGACATACGCTTTCATAATCAAAGCAAAGCAAGTAAGAAATAGTTCAAGTACCTCAATATTTAATGTATAATGGTAAAACAAACCTAAATTCTTCATTGGAATCATTCCTAGAGAATTAAATAAAAGTTATTGATTAACACATGAAACTTTTCTGTAGCAATACCCTATCTGGACAGTTAAGTAAGGTGTTTTAGAACTGTATTGAAATATTTAACAAAAAATATCAATAACAAATCTTTTCAATTGTTGTATCAACATTAAGTTATTGGAAATCTAAGAAACTATCAAGATAGAGGCATTCCAATGAAGAATTTGAGTCTTTTTCACCAATGCACATTAAATATTGAGGTACTTGGACTATTTCCCCATATATAGCGAACATTGTGGGGGACACTGTATAAGAGACTGCTCAACCAAATATAGACAAACTATATATTTTTGGAATCAGGAAATTGTACTTTTCAAGAATATAGTATAGTATAGTATTTCCAAAGTCAATTGACAAGGTAATGATAAATTGCAACTGATGGCTGACTAGTGGCAGTGCATTTCTTATGAAAATATTCAGTCACCAGTTGTGATTTACCTTCACCTTGTTTCAACTGACTTTGGAAAGACTATACCAAATATAGGGCATCCCATTTAAAAAAAGCTGGAAGCATGCAACATTTCACATTTCTGACATTCGATTTTTGTTTCTGACCATGGATTCTGAAAGTTTAGCCAAAACTGTACAACTTTTGTATTAATACCACCTTTCTTCTACCTGTAAAGGTGAAGGCTGTGGGTGGGGTGTCAATATACAGTGTGTCCACTTAAGTTCGCAACATATGGAAAACTTCTTCATTATCAATTTTACGAAAAAAAGTTATTCTTTATAAAAGTTTCTGCTTCTTTGGAAAGTAGGATCAAACTATTAAAACTTGAAATAGCATATACAGAGTCGTCAGAAAATAGAAACATATACAGGGTGTTTTGGTGAAAGTCAAGGTAAAAGTAGAAAAAAATGTCACTTTACTATGTATTTTTTAAAACCTTTGATATTTTTTTCAGATTAAGCAAATCATTACAGTCGAAAGATACCTTTTGTTATCACAAACAAACCTGCCAAATCTGAAAAAAAATTTGAAAAGTAATTTTTGAGCTAAAAAAACGATTTTTTTTAAAACTTTGACACCCTGTATCTCAGAAACTACGCATTTCCGGACACATGATTATGGGAACTTTTTTTCTTAAAATATTGTAAGGAATCACATCCTGAAGTTACGAACCGTGAACCGTACTTAGGAAACACCCTGTATATTTTTCTATTTTTCGACCACCCTGTATATGCTATTTCAAGTTTTAATAGTTGAATATTATTTTTTCAAGAAGCAGAAACTTTTTTAAAGAATAACTTTTTTCGTAAAATTGTACTATAAAAAAACACCCTGTACTTTATTCTTCCGTTTTTAAGCTTCCGAAGTAGCGATCAGAATCACTAGTCTTAGACACAGTATTTCCCCTGTCATTGTTTGTTACTTAATTGAAGATAATTTTATGTAGGATCTTCAAAATGAATAATTATTAGGATGTCTTGACTAGTATTTTAATAGTATATTTTGTATAAAAGATCATGTTGAATGATACGCAATAAAAACACAGAAATTGGAACTTTGAAACGTTTTTTGCTCATATTTTTACATTTCCATCCACCAAAAAATACCTAAAGAATTACCTAATTCCTGATGCTAGTTTCAATCTTAAATTTTAATTTAAGTCAGATATTGTTTGCTTATTCAAGTTGCGATAATATTTATCTTGTGGTTTTCCTATATTTTTAGACTTGATCTGCAATTTCAAGCCAATTTTCTTATGTTCGCTTATAATGGGAAAACCCCAAGGAAATTTCTTCAGCCATAAAGTGGGATTATGAGTGATGTATCAATGTTGTTGATTTACCTATTCACATTTATAATACAATAATGGTAACAATCTGAGTCCAGCTCTGTGTCTTTTATTATTTAACTTTCTTCAGACCCCCACAGAAATTAGAACAATAACTACACAACTTTTAATTTTTTCTCAACTAATGAATTTAGAAACAATAATTATTTTAATAAAACAATTATTGTGACATTTTAATTTGTAAATAAGTCTTTTAATAGCTGGCTTATGTAAAGTTTGTAAAGTTATGCACCATTAAAATTGTGATAGAATTTTTCTTCTATATGCCTTATTTGAATGACGCAATATAGTGTGTCATCGAGACCTTCTCATTTCCAACGATTTTTAATTGCATTCAGGTACCTCTTATTATCAAAGTGTGACATACATCCTGTTCAATTTGGATTTCTTTATATATTTATTAGCGCCCACATTTGACAATAATCTCTACATTTTGCCTGTAAAATTTTGCATTGCATATAGTCTTGAATGTATAAAATATGATTCAACTCTTCAATAATAAATTATTCTAAATTGCTTCATAACATCCAAACATTTGCTGATGCCATTCATTCACTTTGCCAGGAGGCACTTATTGAAATAATTCACAAAAATCATTTAAATTCCTGAGTAGCAATCTTTACTATATTCATATCATTATAAATACTGATTTGTAAATGTTGACCATTGGGGTCAGCACAAACTTGAAAACAATATTTTTATCCCAAGTTATTTTTGTTTAGAAACTAATTAAAAAAAAACAATCGATGGGCCACTGCCAAAGTTCTCGATCTTTTAACCCTTCGCATAGGTTATCGTTTTGCCATTTTAAACTCGAGATACACCCTATTTAATATTAACAATAATTATGGAATTTTCCGAAAATATAAATCATCTTTGTTGATTAATAATTATTATTGTTTCAGATTCAGATGCAAACAATGGACAAATCTGGTCAAGCACCTCCAAAACAAAGAGATTCTCCCATGTCCGTACCGATGGTCAACCAGGGAGCCTCTTTGGATAGGCCTGCAGAACCGCCTCCTGTTCAAGAAATATGTTTTGTTTGCGGAAACAGGGGGCACTTGAGATCCTATCCATTGAGCTCAAAGCCCAGACTTGACAGGCCTAAGGAACCATATTTTCCTTTTTTGGATAGCCACGAGGCGCCCAAAGGATATGCAAAACTTTGGGGTAAAAATAATCATCCATAAACCATAGACTTTATTTAATATTACATATTTTCTTTGCAGCCAAATCTGACCCGTCCATCTTTGCCTCGTGCAGCCTCTGTTACCAGTTGCTGATCCAACAATGGGACCAATACGAACAGACTGCCAGGCCCCATGCCGAGCGCCTCTATTGGCTGAAACGTGTAGATAACGGGCCCTATACGGGGGCCGATATGGGCATGCAGGGCGAATATGCTGCCCAGGTATTGGGACTGAACACTGAAGGCGGTCCTGCACCTGTGGCTGTTCAACAGCCGCCCAGAACTCTCAGCAGAGAGGAACAGCACAGAGTTAGGGCTTCGCCTAGACCTGTTTCGGCACCGGTAAGAAATATAGCATAGCATTTTATCTAAACAGTATAGACAGTTGGCACTACTTGGCTTTTTTGCTTAAATTATTTAGAAATCTAAAATCTAGTTTTATTTTTCACTAATGGTTTTAAATTGCAAAATTTAAAATTTAAAATTCTACTTTTATCATTATTAGTCTTCACTTACTTCCAATTAGATAATTTATTTGCTAAATTATGTTTGTTTTACAAATTAAATAGTACCTATCTGATAATATCTACTAAATATATATGAGTAGTTAATTAATTTTCAGCAAGTGGGTATTTGTTCTCTCAAAAATAATTGCTTTACCCTTACGAGAATGAAAATATTTGTGTTAACAACATAAAAACATTCACCCCACAATCAATAAGCAAGAAGATCAGCTTTGATTTACAGATTATAACATTTGCCCGCGCATTTGCTACTGTTTCAACCTGATTATCACTCTGAGAGTAATTAAATGTAGGTATAATCATTTGCCCCATGAACTGACGTAAGAAAGTTACATCAGCTGCCTTGAATTAAAAGCATTTTATAATTAAATACCTTCTACAGGAAAAACCTCAATCATTTTTATCTAACATCTAATTGTTCCTTTATGGCTCATTTATTTATTTATTTTTTTCTTATCCAAACGTCGGTTTTGCTTGTTGATGGACTTGTTGGTGATTAATTTTTTACGTTACGTTTTATGAATGTGGTTATGTCTAATATCAATTTACATACTCATGTGAGTAGTTTTGAATCTAGACAGGATTATTTACAATAATTTATATTTTATGTATTCGATTCAATGTGAGTTGTGATATTCAAATAAAATAAGCTTTGTTGAACTCTCAATTCTCATAGATCTACTGTTCAAGGCACTATACAATTTATTCAATTTTATTCCATACAGTTGTCCCTAAAAACAATTAGAAATCTCTCTTAAGTTGACAATTTTTTTAGAATTTCATCTGTTTCTGAAACACACTGTATGAAGGTTGATATCTATATAAGTACATAGTGTTTTTGAAAAATTGCAGACCTGTAAAGTTTTACAAGAATTTGATAGTTCTAATAATGCAACAGTAGGTTTGCATTAGTTTCAGAAACGCCCCTGTAGTTATGTTAACTTTTTTTTCCCAGATTGAAATAATATCCGGGTGTCCTATCCAAAAGGGCATTAAGATGCTGCTGCTCACGAATTTTGGTCTGTTTTATTTTCTATATTTTACTTTTTACCGTCCTAATCAGGTGTAAAAGTGATTTTTCTCAACATTTTCATTTGCTTCTTTTCAATCAAAAATCAAAATCTATCTAAGTAACACACATTAAGTTCAGAACATGCCTTTCTTAACGAGTTCACACATAATTTTTAAATAAATGTCTTGGACTCGGACATCAAACTGAGATCCCTATCCAGTCTATTTTTGAACGACTTGGTACTGGAAGCTGTGACTGTTACTTCACTCAGTCTGAATTTTTTGTATAAACCGCCCTATTGCACTAAATTTTTTTTCTCAGAAGTTAGAATATCTTTTTTTTTTAATTTTCCAGAGTGCTCTTGAGTCTTGAAGGTTGTCGTTGTCACTTAGAGAATATATCCAAGTTGACAGAGGAGTAATTACTTGAGATTTTATACATTGTAATTAGATCTCCTCGTAGCCTCCTGTCACGCAGGGTAGTTGAATTGAACTCCTTCAGACGGTCTTTATGGGTTCCTGGTAGAATTTTAGTGAATCTTCTTTGGACTCTTTCCCATGCCTCAAATTCCTTAGCATAATAAGGATTCCAAACTTACTGGGCATACTCTAGTATGGGTCTGATGTAGGACTTGTATATTTTCAGAATTGTAGTAACTGAGTGATCCTTGAATGCTTTTTGCATCAGGTAGGCCAGAGAATTGGCCTTTTTACACATTTTGAGTGATGTGCTTCTGATTTTAAATTGTTGGTTAGAATGACATCAAGATCTTTGTGTTTATTAGTAGATATCATTTTACTCTTATTAAGTTTGTAATCACATAGGGCATTTTTGGTGCCAATGTGGAATACAGTGCATTTATTTTCATTACCAGCCAGTTCTGACACCACTGAGATATCCTCAGTAGATCGGATTTTAGATATTCACTGTTATTGATGGGATTGCAGAAGAGTTTGGTGTCATCTGCGAAAAAACTGATATTTGATTTGAGATTAGTTGGCAGGTCACTTATACAGGGTGTTCCGAAATTGATGCACCAAATTTGTATGGCATATTCTACGTCGAAAATAAGCCCTAGTTTCCTTTATAAACATATGTCTGGAAATGCTTCCTTTCCGAGATACAGGGTGTTGAAATTCTAAGAAAAAATCTATTTTCTATCGTAATTTTCAAACCACTCTAGATATTTCATTGAAATTTTGTACACTGCTCTCAAGCAGCAAAAAACATTTTTTAATGTGAAATATTTGGAAAAAAAAATCTGTGACGTCACAGAAATAATTTGAAACTTTAGGTGTTTAATGTTCAGCATTTCAATTATAATTTTCACGATCTCGCCATGCCACAAAATGGTTCTTTATTTTTTATTTGAAAATAGTGCATCTTTCAGAAAAAAGTGTAGAGATCAAATTTGTTCCAAATTGAATGGGAATTTCAAAAATGATTTTTATTTTAGAAAAAAAGCAGTGGCGCACCATTTTTTTCTGGAAAAATATTCCATAGAAATCTGGTACGGTCACTGGTAATTTTTTTAAAAAATAATTTCATATCAAAAAATGTCTTTTGCTGCTTGAAAGCAGTGTACAAAATTTCAATGAAATATCTAGAGTGGTTTGATAGTTATGATAGAAAAATAGATTTTTTCTTAGAATTTCAACACCCTGTATCTCGGAAGCGTTTCCGCATATATCGGGTCTTCAAAAAAAAAGCCAATCAAAGATTGCTATGGGTTTTTAAACGTATGTCTTAGCACTATTTTTCTTTAATTTTGTCAACGCACTTCAATGTCAAAATGTCATGTCAAAAATCCTGACCAATAAAGAAACAATAATTCGACATACGTTTTCGTATTCAATGCAATCTTTGATTGGTTTTTTTTTTGAAGACCCGATATGTTTATATAGGAAACTAGGGTTTATTTTCGACGTAGAATACGCCATAAAAATTTGGTGCATTAATTTCGGAACACCCTGTATATTTATACATATAAGAAAAATAATTGGGCCAAGTACTGAGCCTTGCTATGACTCCGCTATGTACAGAATGTCGAGTTGAGTAAGCACCATCAACTCTAACCTGATAGGTTAAGAAGTCTTGGATCCAACCCTATACGTTGTTAGGTATTCCAAAATGCTGAAGTTTCTATAAAATACAATTGATTGGAACTTTGTCAAAAGCCTTTTCAAAGTCTAGGTATATGAGGTCAATAGGTTGTCCCTCATCATTCATCTTCGAACATAAATCGAAACATGTAGTAGGTTGCTTTCAGTTGATCTTTTAGGCAAAAATCCATGCTGTGAAAACGGAGGATGTTGTTTTTTATTAGAAAGTTTGTCCGTTTTTTTGGTTACCATTTTGTTTCATAGATTCGCAAGTGTTACAAGTAAGACTTCCTTATAGGATGATACTTTTTTGGAGAAAGCTTGTCGTTTTTTTCGTGAATTGGTATAATGTGGGCTTCTTTTAATTTTTTTATGACTCGCTGCTTATCAAGTTAGTCATTGCGTATTTAAAGGGCGAGCTGATAGATTTTACACATTTTTGCAAAAAAAAATTGTTGGAATGATGTCAGGACCTGGGCTACAATTTTTCTTGATGAATGGACTTCTCGACGATATCTGGGGTAAAAACAACAGATAATAGGGTTGCTTTGTTACTTGAATTGGCTGGTTGCAGCGTTATATTACTCAAAGGTTCTTTCGTAACCACTTTTTCAAAGTGATCAGCCGATACCTCTGCAGTGTTAAAATCATCAGAAACTAAAGTTGTTTCAAAACTATTCTCGTTTTTGTAGTAAATTATCCAAAGAAATTGTCCTAAATGGCTGTAAGATTTCATTTCAACCTTAGATTTCAACGGATTTTCCGCAACTTTTCACTTCGTTTAAATCAAGACCTATCAAACGTAGCTTTAAATATGGTGAAATTGCGTTTAACAATGGAACAACTAAATTGCATACTTACATTTTTGTTCCTTGTGGCTTTTTTTATTGAAATATCAATAGAAACTGTGCTAAGTGGTTGTGAGATTTCATTTTAAGGACATTCCTCGCGATTTTTTACCTCTTTCATACAAATCCAAATAGTTTATTTCCAGACATTATACATATTTTGGAATTGTCACAAATGAAAAATCCAAAAGTAAGGGCGTAAAAGTAAAAGTAAAAGTGAGCAATACAATGATAATAATAGCACTAAACATCAATATCAATAGCATATCCAGTTCTATCCAGCGAAAATACATCCACATATAAGAACAAAGTACAAAAAATACGAAAACGTGCGCAATAATAATATACCACACGCAGTAAAAACATAAAAATCAAGAACACCCCTGCTGCTTTAGAAAACAAACAAGAAGAACTCTCGCAATGAATAAAAGGGGTTGGCAGCAACTATATTCTTCAGTTTCCGCCGAAAAACGCACACAGAATTGGCGTTTCTTAGGTCCTGTGGTAGGTGGTTGTAGAGTTTTAAAGATGTTATCATCATAGGACTGTCCTGGATCTGGGTCAGTCTTGCACTGGGTATGTAAATGTTGCTTGTATTTCTTCTCTGGTACCTGTTCACGTCCCTACATGTGATGTAATTGTGTCGGTTATTGAAGACTTCACTTGCACTCTTTAAAATGTACAGGTTTATGACAGGGTATGTATACTTTCGGCCTTAAAAGTTTGGGGACAGGATTTTCCAAACAGCTGTCGACACATTGTCTTGATTATTCTTATTTGAGAAATCAGAACCCTGGCAATATGCGTGGAGTTACCCCACACAAGAAGACTGTACGACAGAATAGAGTTTATTGCA